CCAATGCATCAAATCTGTTCTTGAGATGATGTGTAAATTCAGGTGGGATGTGTTCAAGGTCATAGTCTGGCTCTCATTGACTTGTTTTCCTTTTCTTCAGCTTCAGTCTGAACTTACATATCAGCAACTGGTATGCTCCAGTCTGCCTTTGGCCTTGTTTTGGCTGATGAAATGGAGTTTTTCCACTATTTCTTTGCACATATGTAGTCAACTTAATTTCTGTGTATTGGATTGGGTCCATGTGTATAATTGTCTTTTATGTTGCTTGAAAAAAGTGGCCTTCTAGGTCACACTTCCCTGTTGTTCAGGTGTGAAATCGGGGATGGGATGGGGCACTAGAGGTCCTAAAGCACAGAAGTACAGCCAGAATGCTCCCTGGAAGCCAGGATGGCCAGACTTCATCTGTCATACTTCAGACATATTATCAGGAGGGACTAGTCCCTAGAGTAGGATATCATGTTTAATAAAATGCAAAGTCAGAGAAAAGCAGAAGGACACCCAAATAGATGGATTGGCACAGTGGCAGCAGTGATTGTGAGCTGGTGCAGGACCGGGAAGTATTTTAATTGTGAGGTTGGTGAAGAACTGGGCAGTGTTTCAAATTGCGAGGTTGGTGCAGGACCGTACAGTGCATAGGATCACTATGAATTGGTACAGACTCGATGGCACCTAACAACAACAAGAACCACAAAACTCTTTTGCAAATGAGTTAGATTTTTATTTCATATCCTTTTATCATATATCAGATTTCCAGGAATGCAACATCTATGTAAATTCACAAAAGATTATACTTTGTTCTGTTGAGAATTTAGCAAGAGTTAGTTAGCATTAGCAACCTTGCTATGGTATTCGAGTAAGGTGTATTGGATATTTTAGTTAGAACTCATCTGAGATTAGTCTACATTTATACTTGTTCCATTCACAACAATTCTACAATTTTGCATAGAGGTGGGAATAATCTGAATGTCTCATGTTTCTAGTGCATTTATATCTGAATATCTTATACAATAGCGTACATAATTTTACATTAGAATTTTATTTAAAAGCTTTCATTTTCCTTTATGTTATATTTGGTGTTATATTTCTTTTTTATTAAGTGGGTAAGTAGCTTACATTTTATATTAATTTCATATCAGAATAATAAAGGGTTTCTATGATGTAGATAAAAGAGGACAGCCTTCGGTATAGATTACATCTCAATGTAAAGAAAACAAAAATCCTCACCACTGTACAAATAAACAACATTCTTATCAACAGAGAAAAGATTGAAGTTGTCAAGGACTTCATTCTTCTTGGATCAACTATCAACACTCATGGAAGCAGCAGTCAAGAAATCAAACAACAGAATGAAATAAGCAAAACCGCTGCACAAGACGTTTTTAAAGTGTTGAAGAGTAAAGATGTCAGCTTGAGGAGTAAGGTGCACCTGAGCCAAGCCATGGTGTTTTCAATAACCTCATATGCATGCGAAAGCTGGACAGTGAATAAAGAAGACTGTAGAAGAATTGATGCTTTTGAGTTATGGTGTTGGAGGAGAATATTGAAAGTGCCATGGGCTGCCAAAAGAACCAACAGATCTGTTTTGGAAGAAATGCAGCCAGAGTGCTCCTGGGAGGTCAAGATGGCCAAACTTTGTCTCTCATACTTCGGACATATTGTCAGGAAGGACCAGTCATTGGAGAAGTATATCATGTTTGGTAAGGTGGTGGGTCAGAGAAAAAGAGGAAGACCCCCAATGAGATGGATTGGCCAAGTGGCAGCATCGATGGACTCAAGTGTGGCAACAGTAGTGAGGTTGGCCCAGGATCGGGCAGTGTTTCACTCTGCTGTGCATAAGGTCTCTATGGGTTGGTACTGACTTGATGGCACCTAACAACAACAACAACATAGAATAGTGATTATAGAAATAAAACTTTTGAGTCTGATCAGTTTGAGAATCATTAAGCCATACAAAAATTGTTTTGTTTTTTCCCTGCTATGGAGAAAAGGCTATTATTTTATTTTGAAGGAGATAGTTTGAGAATTACTGAATGAATAGAAATAAACTAAAAATCAATCTTCTTGAGTCTACATGACAATGTAGTAGTCAGCACATCACTAACTTTCTGGATATTTATTTACCAATATTAAAATAAAACTTTTAGATTAAGTGGTTGCCAAGATTCCCTTTCTATTTAACATTCATTGACTAAAGATAGTTTTAAATTTTCATTATAACTAAGTGTGCCACTTTGGTTATGCCTATTAAAGAAATTTTCAACCTGGCTGTTCAACTTTTCAATATTGATAACCTAGTAAAAGTTTTAATGACTGATGACACACTTTGCTGAGCCTCAAAAAAGCAATGTTAGTATGTATATTTAAATAGTAAGTATGTTCATTTAATTTTATGATGTCAGTTTTTTTTTTCTTAAATGTTTTATTGTGAATTATGTGATAGTGTACATGGGAGAACATTAGTTTTACATTCATTCTATCATATATCATCTCATTGCCATGGTTACAATCCTCTCCATGCAATCCTTCCTCCTTACGCCCCAGGTCTTCAGCACACAGTCACTCTCCCTCTCTGGATCTAAAATCTCCAGCTGCTCCATCGCTCCACGTCATCATCTCTGGCTCCATTTCAGGCATCACTGCTTCTCAGGGTAGGGTCCTGCTCTCTGCTCTTCTCCCTTGATGGTCCTAGGGACCTCCGCTCCTAGACTGAAAAGTTAATCACTCCCCTCCTTGCTATAAAATGTCTATATGATGTCAGTTTTAATCTAACTAAAGAAGGGCTACTAAACCTGGAAGTAGGGTGTGGGGCATACCCTTGCCTTTGCAGTTTGTGTGCTCACATTAAGAAATATTTTCCATTTTGTGTGTTCAAAGGCAACTCCCTGGCAAAATCGAAATAGGCTTTCAGGCTTAGAAATCAAGATAAGGACACTAGGTGTACTTACTTTAATACTCAAGGACATTTCCTGTGTTCTCAAGAATCTAGGAAGGCAAGGGTGAGTAATGTGTGCTTTCTCCTTTTAAAAGCTTACTCTGTTGGAAACAGGCTTCAGACAAAACCTTATTTGTAAGTAGTGTGATAATTACAAAATACATGTGTTCCAGAGGTCAGGGATACAACACAGCAAGTTCCCTTGACCATCACTGTGTCCTTGATCCTGCATAGGGCCTGAGAAACGGGAAGTTCTGGGAGAGAGAGACCCAACTACCAACAATAGGCAGACAAATCAGAGAAGCTCCTGAGAGAACTGTTTTTAATATTTTTCTTCCCCCTCTCTGTTCAAACGCTTTTAATCATTGTTCCCCATCATTAATGCCTTGACTAACCTTTCCCTTCTGCTCCAGGAACATATAGGCTAAGGATTTAGTGCCACCTTGTTGATTAAAATCTAGGATAAGAAGGCAGGCAGGGAAGAATACTGGAGGGTCAATATCTCCCATACCGTAAGACAAAAGGATTTCCAAAAGGCCTTTAACATTGTTTGGGGCGATCATGTCCCAGGATGTAAGGTAGCCCTGACTCAGTGTGAGACAAACAGTATCCTTAAATGAGAGTGCAGTAAATCTCTGAGAAAAGAATGTAACCATGCAAATAGACTGATACCTAGAGTATAAGAATTCTGGACTGTATGGGGCTGGGCGGGTAAGGCAGCCTTTAAGAGAAGGATTAGCACTGTCTTTCAGATCTGTCAATAAAACTATATTGGTTCCCACCTGTCTGTCTCTGATATTGGCTACAGTGGCTGGTGGTCGGACTTTTATACCTTAACACTCTGCACTTTGGGTTAATGATCTGGTTGTTATGAGTCAGAACCCATTCAACAGCACTTAACAACAATAACTTTCACAGAAAAGGTGACATTTAAACTAAGCAAAGAGGCAACTGGAAAAAATAAATTGTCATATGAGCACTAACTGAATGCGTCACTGCTGTGGGTTAATGTGCCAGACTGCAAAGCCGTTTGAACTGCTCCTTGGAAACCCTATATAGGGCCGCTGTGGGTCGGAACCGACTCGATGGACTTAATAACAAATAAATTGTGGGTGATCAGACTGGTATATTGTAACTGAACCACAAGATCAGTTTCTCCAACCAGTGCCCTTTCACCCAATCAAGTTACTTCTCCCTCTCTGAGTTTCCTGCTCGCCTGCCTGCCTTTTATCTGTAAAAGGAGAAGGGCTTAAGTAACAAAATCTCTCTGAGGGCTCTCTCCACCCCCCTCCTTGTGTAACTAAATCCTGTAAACTTTGCAGGACAGAAAAAATAAAATGTACAAAATTGCAAAATTACATACACTACAACTGAATTCTTTGGTGTGCAAAATGCAAATATTAACAGGATACAAAACAATCAAAGGTAGGAAAAGTTTTGGAAAAATGATAGAAGAGCAGTTCTCAAACAGCTGTGGTGGGAATGTTGTGCCCTGGAGTCGGTTCCAACTCTTAGCGACCCTGTGTAGGGGTTCCAAGGAGCGTCTGGTGACTTTGAACTATCGACCTTGTAGTTTAAACCGACCTTTACGGTCCAGTGCTTCAACAGACTCAGCATTTTTATTAAGCAGACCTGAGAGGAAAGAAAGAAGGGGAAGAACAGCAAGTAAAAGAGATCCCTACTGGTCAGGTCTTCCTTTCTCCCGGTTTTCCTCCTTCCTTTTCTGTCTCTTGTACATTACTTACCCAGGAGCCACATCTGGGCAGAGCGCTGACCGCGTGTGGCTTGTAAATTCTATTTCGGTCGCTCTGACCGTGAAACATTGTGAGAATCCCTTTCAATACACTCTGGGCCTGAGTTTTCCCAATGTTTAGGGTCAGTCCCCCTCCAGGAGTGGGGCGCGCACCCGGGACCCACTACGTGAGTTACGGAACCCGCCCCGACACGCACCTCCAAGGTCGCCGTGACCACGCCCCGCCTGCCCGCCGGGTTTCCGGGCCCCTCCAGCTATTTTAAGGCGCGCGTGCTCCAGGCTGGCTCACTTTGAGTTTTCTTGCGCCTGAATTCTTTTTTTTTTTTGCAGACTCTGCAAGTCTCCTCCAGCATGGGTCCCTGGCCCCGCTCGCTGCTAGCCGCCCTCCTCCTGCTTCTCGCCGGCCTGAGCGCCGTGTTGTGTGACACACCTGCCAACTGCACCTACTCCGACTTGCTGGGCACCTGGGTCTTAGAAGTGGGCCCGGGCAGTTCCAGCCGCGACGTCAACTGCTCAGTTATGGGTAAGCGCCGCCGCTGGTTCGCGCCCCTCAGGTCCCCGCCTTGCCTGCGCCGGTTCCTCTGGGGACCCTTGTCTTTCCCCGCAGCGCTCACGCCGAGCACTTTGCCGAGACCGACATTGTGGAGCGGCCAGAACATCTTAACTGGGCTCGGTTCGTTTAGGGTGCCGATTCCCGCTCCAGGACCTCTCTAAGTAAGATCTGAGCTGCTGAGAACTTCCAACTACACTTTCTCGTGGTTATCCAGCGACTCTGATTCTTTCCTCAAGAATTAATTTAACACAGTTTGTGTGTATGTGTTTTCTTTATTTGGACGATAGTTGAGTAATTTTTTATCCCGGTACCTTCTGGGTTTTTTTTTTTTTTTTTTTTTAATTGTGCTGATGGATTTATGTTTTGTTTTTTAAATTGTGCTGATGAAGTGAAATGTGCTCAAAGACACTTGAGAACACAGCAAGAAAAGTTTTCTCCTTTTGTTAGGTTGTAGGTTGTGCCCTGTGTTGATGCTTCTAGTTCATAAAAACTTCTGGTAGCTATCTGTACTGTTTCATATTTTTCAGGGAAGTATATTAAAGGCTTTCCCCCCTCCTTTTTACAACATTTTATCCATTAATTATATTGTACTAATGCCAGACTCAAAGGAACTGTGGTAGCGTAGTGGTTACGAATCGTGCTGTAAACTGCAAGGTCAACAGTTCGAAACTATCAGCTGCTCTTCGGGAGAAAGATGAGGCTTTTTGTTCCGGTAAAGATTTACAGCCTCGGAAACCCTGTTGAGGGTCGCTATGGGTCGGAACCGACTCGACGGCACTTAACAACAACAACAATAATGCCTGGCTCAAAGGATCCCTGGCAATAGTATAGTGGGTTACCAGCTGGGCTGCTAACGGCAAGGTCAACAGTTCGAATCTGCCAGCCACTGTGTGGCAACAAGGTGAACCTTTCTGCTTCTGTAAAGATGTACATCCACGGAAACCCTATACAGGATCACTATAAGTCTAAACAACTCACTGGTATACAACCGTCACCAATGCCTGACTTATAGAAGGCTCTCAATAAAGATCTAGTGTTTGGACAGTGGTAGATTCTATCTGCCCTCAGATTGCATAGCTATGCTAATGGCAAAGAATCTAGTGCTTTAGAGGGAGAAACCCGGCATAATTAGGGTAAGAAGAGACAAACTCTTGCTCTGTCCAAACCCTAACCAGCCAGTAGCTTATGCAGAATGAGAGAAGCTTCTCTCAGCCACAATTCCCTTGTCAGCAGAATGAAGACTGTCATTTATTAGTAAACTAGACCAGTTTAGCTGTGTAGCTCCAGATGACTGTATGACATTTCGTAATCGTGGAAATTTTGACCATCATTTTTATCTTAAAGTTGAGCTTGGTGGGGATCAGGAGAAGCTTGGAAACCTCCAGAAGGACACAGCTGACCCCAGTTCAGGCAGCCTCTGTCTGTACCCCATACCTTTGACCTTATTGCAGCAATTAAGGGCACCTGCCTAGCTCAACCCACATCATCTGAAAGTTGAAAGTTTACTTTCCATACAAATTAATTTCATAGGATACATGTCTCAAGTCTACTAAGTATAAGAGCAAGTCAAAAAAGTATTGCTACTAGGATTGTAAAACATACGTGCGTGGATTTTTCTGAACCAAACGCGTTTAAATATGCCTGTGTGAGGTCTGGTGTGGTGCTGTGGGTTAATGCCCTGGACTGCAAAGTTGGCAATTCAAGCTCACCAGCTGCTCCTTGGAAACCCTATAAAAGTTTACTATGGGTCGGAACCAACTCAACGGCACTTAACCACATGATCAGCAAATGGCTGCAGACAAATTCCCCCAGTAATATAATTTTCTTAGACTTGTTAGGTTCCTTCAGAAAAGTCTAATCAAAATAGTGACTTCTGAGGGGATCTGCTACACCAGTTAAATTCAAGGCAAAGAAGTCAGCTCAGAAGATTATGGTAACTGTTTTGGGGGTACCAAACAAGAAATCTTGATAGATTTTCTCAGAGAACATGGGGTGATCATAGGGACTTAATAGGAAGAAGTTTGAAGATAATTAAAAACTACATGGTGAGAAAAAGACGAGGAAAAGTTGCACTACAGAGTGCACGCTCCCTCATAACGGTGCACCTGCTTGTTCTCTGAGGGTAATTAGGCTGTCCTATGAGAATTTCTTTGGAAAAATCTTACCCCATCCACCCTTGAGCCCCTTCAGACTTATTTATGTTCCCCAAACTCATCATTTAATAGGAAAGCAATTGAGTCCTTGGCGTGTGTCAAAACTGCTGTTTTGACTTGGTGTAAATGGGGAAAGCAGAATTCTTCAGGGAAGGGTTAGGGAGATGGAGACCCTGCCTTCAGAGGTGTGTAGACCTAGGCATAGGATATGTCAAGACATAATGGTTATATGTTTTGATATTTTTAAAAATAAAGATACCCATGATTTTTGTAGCAACACTTTGTGACTTACCCTCATACTTAGGAAGGATTCAGATTCTGAGATTCTGAACTGTAGAGCTATTAAGGAGAAAGACACCCCATTTCTCCACTGAAGAGATCATTTCCTGTCTTTTTATGGGCCTACCACTTTGCTCTTTTTGTCTGTTTATTTTCATATTTTTTACTTTTTACTCTCCCTCTGCCCCATATCTGCCTGAGATTTTCAACATCTGGATCTTCTTTTCTTCCCCCTAATCTGCACAGTTTTCTTGAGTATTTGTATGTTCTGGGAAGGGTAGGGATATACTTTTGTGGGTCTCCCTGCCTGTTGGGCTGCATGGCATCTGTCTGTTTTTCAGCAGTCTTACAGAGACAGGCAGCAATATGGTGACCAGTATCTTCACAAGCCAGTCTGTGGTTCCAAATTAAATCCCATTAAGGGAAAGCAGCTTAATCAATAATACAAGTTACTGAGGAGCCTTTTCACTTGATGGAAATCCAAACACCTAATCTTCTTGTGCTGTGCATTTTCTATTCTTTAGGACCACCAGAAAAAAAAGTAGTGGTGCACCTTCAGAAACTGGACACAGCATATGATGACCTTGGCCATTCGGGCCATTTCACCATCATTTACAATCAAGGCTTTGAAATCATATTGAATGACTACAAGTGGTTTGCCTTTTTTAAGGTTAGTTTTGTCGAAAATACATACTCATTTTCATTGATTTGGTATCTGGAATTGCTTCTGATTAGAAGACCATCTGAATTTTAATTTTAGATTAAGAAGATAACCAGAATTATACCTTTCTACCCAAAAGAAGTCAGATGGTATAATTTGACCACTTTATTTAAATTTGCTATATGACATATTTTGAGATTAGGGTGTTTTTTTAAAAAGGTAACGTGATCTATATTTGAATTTGTATAGCCCATTTGTACTTAAAATCACATTTTGGTAAAGTCTGACTAAAATTTTCATTTATTTCCTTTATTGCATACCTTTATTTCTAAACATTTTCTTAGTTACTTGGCTGTGTACTGAATACATAGGAAAGATACAGAGAATATAGATTTTGTTTTTGAGGAGTTATGCTATTCTTCTTATTATGCTAGCCTGTTGACTGAGACATTGACCTAAATGACTCATTGGAGTAGTACAATGTATTCATTATATAATTATGAATAACTTATTTGAATAAACACAAGAAGAGAGAGCAAGCATAGGAGTTATTCCTTGGACTAATTAAAGCAGTCAGGTAACTAAGCGAATCCAGCTGTTTTCTGCTTTCACTAGGATAGAACTCATGAACTCCAATCTTGTATTTTACTTCCAATTGCATACATATTCTGGAGTATAGTAGTTCAGCACTTTTATTACCGTGTACTCCAGATGTTTCTTCTGATGTTGGAACCTTTCCTGTAAGGAGAGTATTAAATGTTTGAGTAATTTGAATCCATGAGCTTAAGAATGGCTGTTTCACATTAAACTTAGAGTTCAGTATAAATAAAGACAGACCATTCTGGTTTGCAGTTTTTGGAGCATCTGGTAATAATTGGCTAATTGTAGGGATCGTGGGAAAGTAGAAAACGAGTCTGTTAAAAACCACAAACAGCAAAGTGCCAGCAAAGGCCTAACTTGTAAATGTGTTGCGATTAGTCACTACATTGAGCACTGTGGATCTGTAGGATATGCGCTGGACTGTGAATCACAAGGTTGGCAGTTCAAGCCCACCAGCTTCTCTGAGGGAGAAAAATGAGTATTTCTGATCCCATAAAGATTTACAGCCTTGGAAACCTTATAAAGGGTTGCTATGAATCTGAATTGATTTGACTGTGTTTAGCAACAATAGTCACTAGATTATGGTATTAGATATGTACCAATCATATGTCTTAAAATAGCTCCCAACTTTTTTTGCTACCCTTCCCCCCCGCCCCCCCCCAACATGGGGCCTCTCTTTAATATGACATACAGAAAAGAGATAGAAAAAAGTTGTTTCCTTTCACCTGGAATGGCTAATATGATCTTCAACTAGTGAATACAATTCTGCCCATGCCGCCAGTTAATGACTAACTTTGTGGATCAGAGTCAGCATGAGTCCAACCTCAAAAATGTAGAATGTGAGCCAGACCCAACCTTCCCAATTTTCAATAATTTCTGACATCAGCTACCCATGTGGCACATTCTCTGACCCCAGCAACCCTGGGTTAAGTGTGGATCTTACAGATTCAGTGGGCACTGTCCTTTAGATGGCTCAATTGTCAGATGCCATCCACCACATAGGGAATCCACATGATGCCCTCACTTTCACTTACTGGTTCTCCTTCGCCTTTGGGTTTGATAATTCACTGGAATCATTCACCGAACGCATGGAGAGTACTGTACTTGGGATTCTTGTTTGTTGTTAAGTGCTGTTGAGTCGATTCTGACTCTTAACGACCCTGTTTAGGGTTTCCAAGGAGCAGGTGGTGAGTTTCAACTGCCAACTTCGTGCTTCAGACTGACCTTGTGGTCCAGTGCATTGTCCTGCAACAGAATACCACGTATTTAACAATTATAGATGCATTATTACCAAGGGATACAAATCAGGATAGTTATAAGAAGAGACACACAGAGAAGATCTGAGAGGGTTCCCAATGAAATGTCTATGTCTCAAAGAGACCATATCACCCTTCCTATGGTGATGCGGTAGTTCCTTGAGCCACTATGGTCCTGACTTATTGGCCAGAGATGCATGATAAACTAAAACATACCTCCTAAGTGTAGTTAATATTGTTCTCCCAAGTGAGTCTTTTCTGGTCTGGCCAGCCCCCAGAAGATGGGTGCCCTCCTTATACTACATGGAAAAGAGAGGAAGTGCCGACCAATAGTGGAAAAGACTTCCATATGAGATACTGATCTCCTAGTCACTAAAGGTTCTCAGGCACATCTGGGCCCAGGCTTTCTCTCAGGAGTTCTGTAGAAAAAGTGTGTTTATATTTCTGAGAGGTTGGCCTTAATGCTTTTTTTCCTTATGTATCATAAGCGTCATGCTTTCGTCTGTGGGAAAACGTAATAAATGAGTAAGTGTTACTGGCCGGACGGTCTACTAAAGTTCATAATAGGAAGTTAACTATAGATGGGAGTGGTCAGGGATGACCACTTTCCATTGTCCAACAATGTTTGACACAATGAGTTGGTATTTGCTAAAAAAAAAAAAAAAAAAAAAAGAAAATGAATGAGTAAAGTAGAATTCAGCTGGGGGAAGAGGATGAGGAGTAATATAAACAAATGAGTTTATTTATTCATTTGGTTTACAAGTGGGGATCCAAATCATTTTACTCATTTGGATCATTCTTTTGGGAAACTGGTGGGGAAACATCTGAAATCACTATTTAATTATCAGGGAGATAATGATCAAAAGTAGATGGGGACAGTTACACTCCATTAATATTTTCCCATAATTCTGTGTTTGCTCAGTTTAAATGGGAATCTGGAACTGGTGCAGAGGGAAGGATGGCAACATGAGAAATCAACATTTCTTTGTATTACAATTTTTGAGTCATTGTAAGTAGCTTTAGTATTTTGTTATAGCCTCATAGCAGATCAACAGAAAGCCACTTTTTTGAAAAAGGAAATAGGGGCATAAATGTCCACCACCATAGTGGTAACAGTCAATAATGCTTTTGTAGGATGGGATCTAGGCCTAATCATAAGCTTCTGGGCAGAATTAGTTAATTCTGTTCTCTCATTAGGATTAGCAATACCGGTTTCAGCATATTCTTTATTTATTTTGGCTGTAGAATTTATTTTAATAAACATTTAGAAAAGACAAATGCATCATTTTTTGACAAAATCTGCTTGTTTTTTTCAATACACTTTTTACAGCTGTCAACCAGTATTCGTATTCCCTTATTAAAAAATTATTTAGGCTGAGCTATAAACCACGAATGCACCGCTCTCTTCACTTCTTCATCAGAGATGAATCATCATCTTCAAAGGGCTGCTTGCAGGGGATCAAACATGTGAAAATCTGGTGGAGCAAGATCCAGGACTATAGGGAGGATGCTTTAACATGTCAAATAAAGTTTTTGCATCGTCAAGGGCCTATGTGTGGGGAAACTAGCATTGTCATGCAAGATCAGAGTGCCCTTGGATTGCTAGCAGTCCTCTACATTTAATCTGAACTTTAGGCTTCATCTCTTCAGTGAGCATCTCACTGTAATGAGCACTGTTAATTTTTTAACCTTTTTCCTGATAGTATTCTAATCCTGGCACTTGAGAATCCCAGAAAACTGTAAGCATCAGTTATTCAGCTGATGGTTGCCTTTTTTTAAAAACTTTTATCATGAATTGAGTGAGTGAAGATTTACAAAGCAGCTCATCTCAGCATATTCTTTAAAGTCTTATTTGTCAGAATCTTTATGAGAGTTATTTTTTTGTTCTGCTGAAAGATCAGCCAGTCTGACTGATGAATTGTGTTAGGTCTTGTTTTATAATTTAAATAAAATAGTAAAATATACATGAGATGATTGCTCTTAAAAGTTTTCTTTTCATAATCATACAGTGCTAGATAAACATTTTGCTATGATAAAATATCTTGTTCTTTTAGCAAGTTCAAGGGAAAGTGATGGAGTGCAGACTTCTTTTAAGATAGACACGTGATAGGGTGAAACTGACTTCAGATAATGGGAGAGGCAAACATTTTCATGACACTGTTTAACTAAAAAGTCAGTTGAATTTTACCACAAGCATCAGGGTATTTCCTGAATGTGCTGGGGAAATCATGCTGGGTAGGGTGTTTATCTAAAGAAAAAGGCAAACCTATTAATGAAATATTTTTTTTTAGATAACATGCTTGAGAATTTATCCTACAGACATAGAATGTGTCGGGGACCCGCCTCAACATAGGGGTTCGGTTCACGAGGAGAGGATACCTGATGGCGAGTCATATATATCAAGAATACATATAAGGAGACAAAGAGGCACCCCAAAGCCAGGGTGGATACATCACTGGTGGGCAGGCTTGGGACTACAGGCATCGTGGCCTCTGCAGGCAGCAATTCACTGCCCTGCAATCTTTACTCCATGCCTCCCAACTAGTAATGCACCGCAATCTTTACTCCATGCCTGCCAACCAGTAATGCACTGCAATCTTTACTCCATGCCTTCCAACCAGTAATGCACCGCCATCTTTACTCCATGCCTTCCAACCAGTAATGCACTGCAATCTTTACTCTATGCCTGCCAACCAGCAATGCACACCTGGAGAGGCCCGGGCCTCTGTTTTATTTAGGGGAGGAGCTTCACACCAAGCTGGGAGGGACTAAAACAGGATACAGCTAACATCAGTA